TACATCATTGCGGGATTTAGTTGTGAGTTTAATTTTTAAATCTAATGAGACATATACTATAGGGACCACTGCGGATATATGGAAAAGTAAGTTACCAAATAATTGTACCTAAACCAGAAGGGAGACCAAAACAAGTAGGCCATTCTATTTTTTTCCTTAATTCAAATTTAAAATGCACAATTCAGCAGCACCTAAACAGTTTTGCAAATAATTTTAGGTACTAATACTATTTGCACAATTCAGGAACCTATCTAGGTACTCATATAACAGTTAAGTATTAGAAATAAAAAACGCTGAGGGCAAAGATGAGAAGTACTATGTAGTTGGTAGAAAATAGTAGTGGTCCTTTCTACAGAATTGAAATCAGCTTTTAAGTAGCCACCTTAGTAGACTAACATTAACGATTAACTCAACGCAAAACATAACATAATGGAATCACATAAAACACTCAACAATAGATAAAGAAAAAGCACTAGTATAAATGAAAAAGTAGATTCAAGAGTTGCTTGAAACTTTCATCAACTTTCAAATAAGATTTTATAATTAAATAAAATGTAAACAACTACAATTCATACTTGAGGTAGAAAATTGTCATTATCAATTATCCACTTCTCCCTCTTTTCATATCCTCAAGACCCCCACTTGATTCACATATTCTTGGGATATCAAACCTGGACTGCAAATCTTCTCTCTCTATCACATCATTTTAGAGTCGTCGTTTACTTGTCCATAAGAGGACGATGTGAAACGTGTATTTTTTAAGAAAGCTCAACAGTCTGCTAGAAATGATATCGAGCGTGCCTTCGGTGCGCTAAAGAAAATGGCATCTTATAGCTAGTCCCGCAAGAATGCAGGAAAAACAAAAAAATGTCAAACGCCATGTACGCATCTACTATTTTACATATATATTTTTCGAAGAAAAGGAGTTAGCTAACTATAGAGAGTATGAGCCGTGCGATGACAACATTGGAGACGTCACCGATGATAAACAAATTGCAAGATGCTGATACAAGAACGTATGAGATGAAGGCAAAAGATTAAGAAATTAGAGAAGGTGGAGAGTCTAGAGAAGAAGAAGAAGAAGACAAGTCAAGAGGGAGGGGAAAAAACGGCCAAAAGCCAAGGAGGAAGAGAGAAGAATATTTAGGGTTAAAGGATAATTTCTTTATTGATAATCTCATTCTTAAGTACAAATGTCTCAATATATAGAATAGAATTCTAAAGGTAAAGGAA